TCATCTTCAGTGTCTTTTTTTCTATTTTTAATCATCTTCATCGTCTCAACCATCATCATCTTTATTTCTCACGTCATCATCCTCGTTCACTTTTTTGTCCGGTATTTAATTTCAACATATGAAGCTGACGTATTTTCATCACTGTCACCACCACCATCATCTTCTTCTTCCTCCTCTTCTCCCTCTTTCTTATCCTCATCTTCACTGCCACCATCATCATCTTAATTACCATCATTTCTTCATCATCATCTTCATAATTAGCATGATCATATTCACTTCATCTCTTGCATCTTATCAATTTCCTTCATTAATCAAACGTGACCGTTCTCTAGACGGCATCACATGCATGTGGAGAACATAAACACTCCAAAAATGTGCATATCATTATATCTTTCAGTATATAATAATAGTAATAATAATTACAATAATAAGAATAATAATAATATTAATAATAATAACTGTCATTGTTGTACCTTTTTTGAAAGTTTTTTTTAAAGTGTTAGCAAGAGTTACAGGAGATGTGTCTTAGTGTGGATTTTTTTGCTTTTGAACCTTCGCACTGTGACAGCAGTCTTAACTTTTGACCCAATAACCACTTTAATTGATTACTTTATACTGTTTATAAAAATGTTTATGGTTTTCATCTGATATTATTGTCAACTTTAACTACACTGTTACTATCAATTGTTACTGTTACACTTCTAAATGTATTCATTGTAAAATTACTTCTATTACTGTGGCATGCCTTTGTAGCGGTTTAGAGGCTGCAAAAACATTTTTATTTATTGTCAATATTTTCAATCTAACAATAATGTTAGAAAAATTAATCAAGATAATATTTTTTTCCGGTATTAAAAGTAAATTAAATGCTGCTAATCACAAACACCTGCTTCTCCACTATCATAATTCCACTTTGTTATAATTACCATTATAAGAAACGATTGCAATGAAATGAAGATGAATTTTTTGTCATTTCGATGAAAACATTCATCAGCCTAGCATAGCAGAGCATGATCTTACAACAATCCATCATCATCTTCCTTGCAAATTATCCTTACAAAGTCAGGTAACAATGCATATATAAATCATTTAGGACGCCCTTTCAAACAGGCAAACCACTTTCACACAAGAAAAATAAACTACATACATCTATAAGAATGCATGTAGATATACGTACATTCAGATATACAATACATTCACACGTAAACAGATATAAAAACGTGAAAAATTAAAAATGTCCGTGTATGTTTGCCTGCTTGTCTTTGTTTGTTTGTCTGCGTGGATGATGTCCTATTACAGGAGTGTAATGTAAGGTGCGAAATGTGTGAAATTTTTTCATCCATGGAATTTTTTCATAGGTAGCGTTAAACGAACCAACTCACACAAACAAATTTTTATACAAGATCAGATGTTTCTTTCTTCCTCTGAGACAGATTGACAATGAATGGCTATAACGGGCACGCACTAACCATCCAATCATTTTAGACAGACACAATGTACATAACTACATAGTTGCATGTATACATTATACACATATCAATATATCTTGATACATACGTAGATTGTATTAATACATATTAATAAACATACGTGCATGCATGCATGCATATATCCATGCATACGTAATACATACATGTAAAATAAATGTGTCAACTATCCATTGTCCGCCAACTTTTAGTATCCGCAAACACACGCTCTTGGGCAGTTTTTTAATGTTGCATGAAACATTTATATTCATAAACTGCTTTTATTTCAATGGCATGAAATCGGCTGCAGTTTTATGTAACTTTTGATACCTCTCTCATTTGTTTGTTTGGTTTGTTTAAAATTTTGATTTCAAAATATTATTTCAATTTGTTATGAAAATAAAATTTTATTCCATTTAAATTTTTAAAAACTCTTAACCTTATTTTCAATATTACTCAATAACCGTAACCGTAATGCCACACATTCCTGAATGAATATCACAAATAGTTGTAAACCGTGCATAAGCTTCAAGGGATGATTTTATAATTTCAGTTCAACATTAAGTAGTATTGCTGTCTTTTGAAATCATAATTCAAACAAAAATGAACTGAAATTCTAATACTTTTAAATATCTGTCCAAATAAGTCAAGTAAGCGTATTGGGTGTACACACATACCTAGGTACATATACAAGTAGGCTAATGCCAAGTTAAATCTGAAGTATACCTATTTAACCATAAATGATTGAATAAGCTTGTGTAGTATCATTCACTATATAGTTGCATATAGTTTACAAACAAAGCAAACAGTTTTTTCAGTAGTTTTTACAGTTCAGAATTTGGCAAAAAACCTCCTTGTAAATTTTTCTTCTGTTACCACTGCAGTAAAGCACTTAAGACTGACCGCGACGTTTTATAATTCAATTATCGCCCCATCCTAACGTTTGAAGCATTTTTCTTCCCAGTCGAAGGTTCACACTGTTCAATGTGAATGTTTGTTATACTACATATTTTTACTTTTTTTATATATAAAAAAAATATATATCGAGGCAAACTATTTTTTTTTGTCAACTCAATGAAATTACAATTCGTCACTGTAAAATTGTTATTAAAGTTGAATTATATTGCAATTTATAAGACCCACCAATAAGAATAGTATTATTATATACATAATTTATTACTTTCAATGTGTTTTCAAACCGGTTAATTTATAGCGGCAAAGGGGTGGTTTTAAATTTGAATAGTTTATTTCAAATATTTATATACCTTTACACAAATTTACGCACATCAATTTGTAAAAACAGTATATATATATATATATATATACATATATATATATATACATATATATATATATATATATACATATATACATACATTGTCACAGTATATACAAACATATAAAATAAAGTATTTGTAAAAACACAAATATATATATATATATATATATATATATATAACGTGTGTCCATAGTTATTTATATATGCAGATGCATATATGTGAAAAGGAGCCTACATTATAGGAATAGTATTGCATCGACCCAGTTGTTTTCTACCGAAAGATGTATTTATTGCGTGAATTTTCCCATGGTATGTGTTGTTTGAATGTTGGTCGACTGCTGGCACGTTCGTCGTTCATCGTTTGTTTAGTTTCAGACTGGTATCAAAATTATTTTTAGACTTAATTTGACAAATAAATTTAATTAATATAATTTCCGATATGTTTTCTCTACGAAGACATACTTATATTAATTTGTATAAATATTTTGTTGTGAACGGATGATTTATATATTTGTTATGTAGGTGTGTAAGTTCAAACATGAGTTGATTTGATTTTTGTCCTCTCCAATATTATGATAAACTCATTTCATAAAATTAAAGTTCGATGACAACATTTTCATTTTTTCTAATTCATTTTTAAATTATCTCAAAATTTGTAACAACATCGGCCGATAAAGAACTGGAAGATGACTCTTTGTTAGGTTAATTTTTTTCTTAAATTTTCGTTCTTGCAAAACTGCAATTATTCAATTAGTTTGATCTAATATTTGTTTTCAATTAATTTTTTTCAAATTATTAAAACAAATTAATGTTTCTACGATTTCAAATCCATAATTATTTCGAAGTTTTAAATCGATTAAAATGGTTTTAGCATTGATCGATTACATCGCTTTTTGTTGAAAACAACATGCGAATCAAACTCTCATTTTCAATTGCAATGCACTCTAACACACAAATCACATTTTAAAACACGGTCGAATGAGTTTTATCGTCTTCATTATCGATCAGTTTTTTTTTCATAAGTTTCAGCGGGTGTTCTTAAACACCTGTATTGCTGTGAGATGTGCGAAACGTTAAAAAAACCAATAATATTGTCTTCCCAGGACAAAAATATTTTATTTCAAGTACGTTTCCCGTCAGAACATGAACATTTTCATAAAAAATTGCGTTTACTGCTCTATATAACTCTTCAGCGTGCGCATTCATGTCTACGGAGCATTTGTCATTCTTATTTATTGGATGTGCCTCGCTCACAATAGCTAACATACCAAATTCAATACGGCCATGTGAATAATTCATTGACATTTCCTCTGTTGTTTACACGATATTAGCGTATGTAATGGATTAGTTTCCTGACTAAAACGTAAATAATATGTTATATCGAAGGATAACATTAAAACAACTGGGCAGCAATCAACGTGTTTAAATAACAACGTGGGTTAATAAATAATTCTGTTAAATATTATTAAAAGCAAGTGAGCAATAAACAGAAAATGACAAGAAGAGAAGAGAAATTATTGTAAGGAAATAAAATACAAGCAACCACAACGTGTACACGTGTGTCAAACGTGAATAAACAAGAGAGACATCAGGCAGTATGGCCGCATAAACATTGTTGATGAAGATAAATTTAAAGAACTTTTTTTCTGTCCAGCGTATACCTACATCATGCAAAAAGGCTGAAATAATTCAATTCAAATTGTTTTTTGAAATTTAGGATCAAAGTTATTTGAAAATAATGTTTGAAAAAATTTTTCATTGTCAAAAGTTTTATTCTATTTTATTAAATATAATAGCACATTTCTATAACGTTGAATTTCAAAATCAGAATGACACAAAGCAACAGTTTTGTGACCCTGCAGAAATTCAAGACAATAAACTTGTAGAATTGACCATTATATGGCATTCTCAACCTTTTTAAAGGAACAAGCAAGCCTGTTTAGCTTACAACAATTGAGTTTAGTGGAAATAAAATAGAGTTTATTGGCACTTAAAAGCACTAAAAATATACTTCAATTTACTTTTGCAGCCATCAAATCTTCTCCATTTGGCCTCTGTTTAATCAATCGAATTTCATTTCATTAAATTTCATTTGCTTTTTAGTAGGTCATGCATTCATTCATTTAGGAGTGAAATTTAACTTTTTTTTTGAAAGTATTGAAATTATTACAAATATTTTTCTTCAGACAAAATATTTGGTGTTTCCAATGTTTCAGTTTGACTCTTCATTGACACACACGCACACGAGAATTAAAATGAAAATAACTTTAATCTTCCAATTGAATTCCATCAAAAATACCCGTCAGCTGATCAAATTTATTGGATCAGGTTTGTGAAACTCGCCAAACGCTGACGTGGCTGTACCAAATAAGCTGTATGTATGTGTGTGTGTGTGTGTGTGTGTGTGTGTGTGTGTGTGTGTGTGTGTGTGTGTGTGTGTGTGTGTGTGTGTGAGTTAAATGAAGCAATTATTTCATACCCATCTATTGATTAAATAAATTAGACTAGTCCATTTGATACATACAATATTTTTCAATTGTTAACGAAATAAAAAGCATTACTGCTTTTCTACTTAACTATTAAAAATATCTATTGATTATTTATGGAATATTTGTGCCTCGTATAGAATAAAATCACAAACACTTGAATGCCTTTACCGCGAAGGTTTATTTTTTGTTAAACCGTCGAAAATGCTTATGACAAGTGTGAGATTACTCGTTCGACTGTCGGCTTTGAAAGGCTCACCGTCTCATAATAATGTATCTGAACTTGTGATGCAGTGCTTACGTGTCTGCCACTGCCAACTTCATGTAGGATTACCTCAACAGAATGTAGCTGGTGGTGAGCGGTTGTGTGAAGTCGGAGAATGCGTCTGTAGACTATTTTTTTAAACAGCTTTTGAGCATTTATTCGTAACTTCATCTTAAATTTTCCTTTTTGTAATCAAACAACTCTCAATTAATGAAAAATTTGTTTAAAACTTTAGAACTTTTTTAACCATTGCAATTTTTTATTTGTTAACTAATATTAGTAAAATTTAGATGTTTCATATATTTAAACCATATTTGAATCAAATCTAAATACTCATGAAAGTCATATAATAGTATAAAATATACAACCTTTTAGAGTAAAACAATCAAAGTCTATTTTACATTGCTATTTTAAATTCCTATCAATAAAAAAGTAAAAGTATGAACAAACTCCAACCAGAAGTGATCAATCTTTGCCCAAAAGTTTCATAAAAACAAAAAATGTTGCAATTAGAATGAAACAGCAAAGCTACCTCGTCTTTGTTTTACAATTGCACAAGTATAACATTACAACTGTGAAGAAGTAACAACCGATCAAAAGCAACAGAGGCACGCGAAAACTCACCAACTTTATTGCTATCCAAGAGCAGTACTGCTATAAAATATTCATACTACATTCATACTACAGTCTTAATAATATTTAAAAATTATTTCTCAAAAATTAAAACTAAAAGTATTTAAAATTCACGACAAATAAGATAAAATAACGAGAAATAACGAGATAGCGAGGAATTGATCAACATAGTGAACATAGCAGTGAAGCTGCAGTAACGATAACAAATGGTAAGCCCCACAAAGCGCAGACGTTCCTACGTTCATAACAAGATTCATTTTCAATTTTAGTCCTAAAGCAAAATGAGCCTAGAGGATTATGCACGTTTCTTAAATCAAGTTTGCAGAAGTACTCACTGTCCTGCTATCCTCCTCTGTTACATCTTCCAGCCTTCTCGCTCTATTGTTTTTCCAACAATATTTTTAAAAACATGTTGTATTATTATTATTACGTTAAACAAAGGCAAAGACGAAACGTCCCTGTGCCTACTCAAAACTAAGACAATTTTAAAACAATAAATTAAATAACCTGTGAGTCTATACTGAATAAATTTAAAATAATTAATGTTCTTATAAGTCAAATAATGTATTATACCTCCTTGTAAAATAAAAAAAAAGATAATAATAAAAAAAATAAATATAAATAAATTAATCACATATTATAATCAATAATGTATGATTTATTACATAGCGTGCTTAGTAAATAAACTATAATTTTATAACAAAAAATATTATACCATCACCATCAGCTAAACGTTTACAGATAAAGTTGTTGACATTATAAACACCATCCTAGTAACAATTCGCTCTCACTAGTGGGCCTAATGATGCGCTCTCAGCTGGGCAAACATCTTTTTGTTCCCACAACCGTGCATGAAAACTCTTTGAAGTTCCTCACTGGGATTATCGTCAATCAACTTTTTTCGCTGCTGCCAATTTTTAAAATACGTGTTATCTTTTAAGTCATGTTTTTTACATAAATATATATATATATATATATACATGTATGTGTGTGTATATATATATACAAATTTAGCGCCTTTGAAATAATGATTTATTTGGCGCTTTATAAATGTTCCAATAGTTAATATAATAATATATTATGTAAAACACATATACATGTATATATAATTTCTACAAATAAACGAAATATTCATATATGGAAAGATATTTTTTCGCAAGATATTTCTACGTTGTTTTCAAGATTTACTTATATATATATGTTGGTAATAGACCATAATTTTTAAAATATTCTATAAATTCTACCGAATGTTTGGCGTTAATATGTTTGTAGTTCGTTTTTTCGATTTTTCTCACTAAAGTTTTTTGGTGAACGTTTAGTTTATTAAAATTCAAAATAAACTTATTTTTCGAATTCATGCTGCAAATAAGGCCATATTTCGATTCCGAATAAATCATTATCAGTGCTCCTTGCTGTATATATAGGGAAATATTGACTTTGTCAAGATGAACTTTTGACGTTGTAAAAAGTAACTTTGGTGTTGTAAAATTGGACTTTGATGCGAATTAAGTGTCAGGTTTCTTTATTGGCTGGTCATCTTCTTTGGTCTCCTTTTCTTCATCGAAAGCATCATATTCTTCTTTGTCACTATTTACGATGCTAGTTTTTATTACTTCTTTGTTTTCGTTGTTGGTTAAGCGCCGGGTTCGAAGTGAGGTTGTCAATATATATATTATATATATATATATATATATATATATATATATATATATATATATATATATATATACTGTAAAATGTGACATTTTTTTCTCAAACAATGTTTGGATAGAAATTGGCCTAGTCGTCATATATATGTTAACTTGACTGTTGGATGATGGCGTTCGTCGAAAATACACCATAGTACTAATAATAACATAAATAACATAATAACGATGTTAACATCATAACATTGACATAGATAACATACTGATAACAACATTGATAACGTTATAATAACACCATAAATTAACGACAAAAACTCATTCAGACACATGTGCCAGCTAGTAAAGAGGCAGACAGGCAGGCAGGCAAACAACTAAACAGACGCAAAGAATAAAATAACGCTAACTTTATCAAGAGAGCCATCAAAAGAGATTAATATGGACGTTTTGAATTATGCATCGCTTCTTAATTCGACTTCATCTAATGAGTCTTTATTGTCTATTTTATTTATGTGCCGTGTGTACTCATCTCAATGGAATATGATATGATAATAGACGGTGGCGGTCATGTTAATGGAACACAATTTGTTAATTAGTTTAAGTTGCATTTTTTGTCTGAAGTTGATCATTTAATAACCCCGAACCATTTTTCACTTTTTTTATTCACATGGAGTTGGTATAAAAATGAAAAAATGTCAAAGAAAAACTATCTGTAGATAAAATAATAAATAAACAGTTTCACGCAAAAAAATGTTTTCTTATATTTTCAGGGGGATATTTTCAAACGAGCATTTATTTTCCACCAGGCGTCGTAATTCACTGCAGCCCATTGTTCTGCCTTGCATTTCCATGCACTCTCTGAGTTATGATGACCATGTAAGGTCACTGGGTCACATGTTCACCTCGTTCCTGTGTGCAAGTTCTTTTCATGTGAAAATGCTTTGTTTGAAAAACTTATGTATTTTTTAGAGGGAGTAAAGAGTGAAGCTAATAAATGCATTTCTTCAAATACTCAGCACGCCTTGATTACATTTAATTTAGAATAACCGCAAAGATATAACCGCAAAGATATAACCACAAAGATATAACAGCAAGGATATAACCGCAAAGATATAACCGCAAAGATATAACCGCAAAGATATAACCGCAAGGATATAACCACAACGATATAACCGCAAGGATATAATCACAAAGATATAACCGCAAGGATATAACCACAAAGATATAACCACAAAGATATAACCACAAAGATATAACCACGATTGAATATCAAATTGAAGTAATACTATCTTATTTGAGCCTAATAAAAAGTTTATAAAATGAATAAACTAGAAAGCTATGAATAACTGAACTAGGAATTAAAACATAAATATTGTTATTTTAAAAAGAAAAAATGTTATGCTAGCAAATTGTTCACGACTTTGGTGCAAGAAATGTATCATCAAACTTGAAGAATCGAAAAATAATATATACCTAAGAACATTACATTACAATACATATAGGAGCACATATAAATGAATGAATAAAAATATATCTTCTTTTGTTAATTCATTAGTTCTTGTAATCAATCCAATCAATTAAATGAGTTCTGGGAAGCCATCTAATTCATTCCTAATCCAGCCTACTGCCAATAAGTCTTTTGTAATATCCTTGCCTTCCTACGCACTAACTATCTTTATGTTGGTATTAGTGTATATTAATAAGTAAACAAACAAACACACACACACAAACGCTCGCACACACAAACGCGCAAACACACACACAATTTTTTACATATACATTCATATATACGCCTTTGCAGATAACTCAATTTAGACGCTCAACAAATCTACATTACAATGCAACATTAATATTACGTCTAACATTAGCAGGAAAAAGTGTGTTAGACCTGATGTATATAAACATTTATGTATAACAAACAATGTAATGATTTATATTTTGTTATTAAATGAATAAATATAATATTTTTGTGTAGTTAAAACTTTTGTCCTTATAAAAGAAATATGTGCAAATAAAAAAAATAAGACGGCCAATGGCCATATGGATACGAAATCTACTGATTTTAAGTATCAATTCAATCGCTGATAATCCTTCAATTGATAATTGGAGATGCATATGAATTAATTACATACATTACGTGCAATTTATATATGGCATGACTTATGGCACGTTATTAAATATATTTTAAAATTGAACAAACTTTTAAATCATTGGTAGTTCAATATAACCAAAGTGTTTTTCATAATGAATATTATATATTTACTAAAAATTTTTGAAGCATATATAAATAGTAAATATTGTTTCTAAGGTTATTGAATTTGAAGAAACTGTTTGAAAAAAAGACCAGCCAGAATCTTGTAGCAATGAGGAAAGAATTCTTATCCATGCAAATGATCCTTCTCTTTTCCATATGCCTGTTGGAGGATTCTTATTCAAGCGGTTAATAATTTCAAACATTTTATTTGGTTATAATTTAGAATTTTAAATTGTTTTAAAAAACGTGCAACAGTTATATATTCTACTACATATCAAATGAAGTTGTTTTTCTTGCCAAACATAAAAGAGGTTAGAACGAACGTGCATCTATTGACTATTTGAGTGCATCTTCAAAAGTTGTGGTAAGTTTTGCGCTAAGAGCAACAATTTTTTACATGAATTTTTAAAAATTGGCACAACAATCTCGGTTTGAAAACACTTTTTATTGATAAATCACTTTTTCTTTGAAAGTCATCAATTTGAAAAGTGGCATCGGGTAGGCCTTTAGTATAGAACTGGAAAATATGTTTTGTTTAGCAGAAGGGCATCACAATTTGTTTCTCGATCAAAATGTGTTATGTAACATTGCACGCACATAATGTTATGTGAATAACGTCATTTGATCAATATATGAATGAATGCTTCAGAGAACTATATTCAATCCATTAATTTACAGTTTACATAACAATCACATTACATAACATAACATAACATCAGGTGCTCAAGTGTCTTTACTAAAATTTAATAAACCGTTATTTAAAGTTTTTAGTTTTCATACATACATACATCCATACATAGAAATAATAGGCATACATTTAAATTATAAAAATTACAAGGTTACAAAACAGCAGGGGTATGAAGTTGTTAGTAAGTTGGTATGTGTTGACGATTTTATTGTTATATCAGACCTACAAACTTATCTTATGGAAGACAAGAAATATATCAAAATTTGAAACGTTCTTTTCTTAATTTTTAACGTCAGTCTTTAGTTTAAAAACAAAAAAATCATATATCAAATTTTGACGTTTCTCTTGTTTGTAATATAAAATGAAATATTTCAAGAAGCAAATTTCAAACTTAAATTATAACATTTGATGACGTTTTGACGCATGAATTTAACTTGGAAATCATCTTTCAAACTTTTTTAGAAACATTTTGATTGCAATGGCGAATGCACTGACAGAGAAACAAAATGACAAAGCGTGGACCCATCAGAGTTGGGTGAGTAGTATTCTCAAGGGCCAATGATTGTTCCCCATCAGTGCTTGCTTTACATCAACATTTATGTTTTTATGATGTCTGTTTGATGTGCTAACTGTTTGCCTCCCGCTTTAAACTGGCAGTTTGTTATCAATCGTAGTAAGTTTAGTTTTACAGAACATCATTTTTTACTGGAAAATATCTTTATGTGTTTATAGCGTGAAAAAATTCTTATGAAAATTAAGTCGAACAAAATCTAAAAAAAACTAATTTGAATGACCGTTGTTCGATTAATTCATTTGAAATACTTTAAAATTAAAAAGAATTTCATAGTAATAAAATTCAAGAATAGTTCAAGGAAGCAAGGCAGATGGTATAAAACCCAAGGGTGCTTTATATTTTACTAATATGTCAGTTCTTCTGTGAGAGTCTTCCGATGAAATTTTATTGAACATCAAGTTGAAGCAAATTTCCTTCTTTTAAAGTCGTTCAGCTATTTTTTTTATCATATGTGATGTTTGTATAAGTGAATTAATTAATAAGTTCAGTTATTTTTCGGTCACAAAATTTATTTCATCGTTTGTAACAAATGGCACAAAAATATTTTTTTTAATTTAGGAATTTTACTAATCTAACAGAACTTAAAACACCCAATTTCAAAGGATAATAATTAATTATCTTTTTATGATAACCATTAATTTAACATTATTCGATAATGTGTTGCGTTTTTAAGTTTTGCAAACTTTTTTTTATAATAAAACTTTCTCAAAGTTTATACAGCAGGCAAACAGTGAGTGCTTCTATGTGAATTGCGTTTGACAATAAGTCAAGTCTGCAATTTATTGAACTGAACCGCGGAGAAAGGAAACGGAAATTTAAATAGGAACTTAAATATAATAATTCCATTCGCTCAATGGACGATTGCTCAAAAAATATTCCGGTTTTTCTTATCAGATTGTTAAGTTAATAATAATAATAATGGCTATTAAGATAAACAATAGTTAACGTATGAAATAACTTCCTACTAAATAATCTATGAAATTACTGAAATAGTGCGAATGCGTGCATACTTTTCAATTATATCCCCCAAGCAAATTGGCGCATTGATCGACTAGAATGAAATGAACATGTTTGGCTTGCCGTTGTAAACGCATTAAGCGGAGCATATTGTTTCTCTTTCGCCATATAATTAATTACCAACATTAGGTATAGGCATGCATAACGTGATGCGAAGACGAACGAAGCAACATCCAACAATGGGATGGATGCACAGCAGAAAGTAATTACTGCTATAATCAGCCATATCATCAAAAACATTATCGTCGTTTTTTTACATTGTTTGCGTCGCTGTATTAATTTATTTTTCAGCTATTGTTTCTCGAATGTATATCATACATCAGCTAAAGTCTGCATGTCTTCTTCCTCAATAGTAACATTTTTAATTTGATATAATGGCGCCTAAATGGGTTTTCAAAGAATTTTAAAATTAATTTAGAAAATTATCCTACGTCAAGAATAATGAAGATAGAGTATTAAAACTTCAGTGAATACAAAAAGCTATATTGATCAGCTTCATGAATATAATGTTATACAGGACCACAAAATGATGCCCAGATGTCTCCACAATAAAACTTTTGGCGTCATATTGTAACGAACTTCAAAAGATTTTAAAATTAATCTTCTTGTATGAGTACTATAGTCTTGAAAACACGTAAAACAAAGTAAATTCACCATATAAAACACCATAGTTAAATTCATGCGAAAAAATTTTTACCCAACATATGCCTCGCATAAAATAGAATTTAAAATTTTTTTGATTTCTCTCAGTTTTAATTTTTTAAGAATTTCTTTTTGATAAAATCATAAAAAATTATTTTTTTTTTTTGCTAACATTGAAACATGCTAACTGACTGACGTATGCAATAATAAATAAATAAAATTTTTGGTAAGTAGCCTAATTTATTGAAGAAAATGCTTTGTATTGTGCCTCGGACGATAGATAGGTATGTAAATTATGCGTATTTTAAGTGCAACTACACGAATAAATAATAACTCTTTCATGACACTACGAAAGTTCATCATCTACGTCATCTCTATCTATGTCACCAGGTATCATAGTTAACATTGTTATCTCCCTCATTATAACACCATTCTGGATTATATTTGTCCTGCTGTTTATTTTCAAGGTTGTCATCATTTTAATCACCTACCACACACACACACACACACACACACACACACACACACACACACACATACACACACACACAAACACACACACTTACGTTACCGTTGTCCACGTCATCAGCAACATCATCACAACACAAACATCATTCTTACTATCCTAACTCTTTATATCATCACTGACATCATCATCTTCCAAACTGGCGACGCAAAAACGAAATCATCATTACAGTTGTCGTCGTGTGGTTGCCATCATAGATGTTTCTGCATATTTATATGCTTGAATGGGCATCATTTGCAACGTCACAAAATAGCCCGTCAATGATATTTCGTCATCTTCATCATCACACCATCTTTGTCACCAGTTAATCGTCACCACTAACATCGCTATCGTCATCTCATTATTGTTTCGTTATTACCTCATCACAATCGTTGGCATCATCGCCAGCGTCATAGGCATCGTCGGCGATTTTATTCTCGTCTTTCATCTAAAATTGAAATTCTTAATTTAAAAATTATTGAAATCGGTTTTTGAATTAGTTTTAAGTTGAACGTAGCATACGGAACATATTGCTATTTTCATAACCAAGTCAAACCAAGAAACTTCACAAAGTAGAACAAGGTAGATAGCGTCTGTACGTACATATTCCCACTCATATGATTTTTGGATAACCCGTTAAAAAGCTATCAAATCCAAAAATTAGTATTACAAAGAAACTTATTTTCCAGGAATAAAACAAAACACAGTAAACAAAATAAAAAAAAATATATTTTAAAATTAATTAAATTATGAGCCGATGTTTTTATGCGAACACACACGCGCACACGCACACACGACCACACAAACGTAACATACATAATAAACACACATACATACATGGTAATTAACAAGCAGAAACAACATGGCAGCGACAAAAACTTAGGAAGACTACTAATGTTTGAACGACGTGAACAATTCAATTACTTTGAAACACATTTCATGTTACGCCATTGTCGTTCCATCCATTTTATTACAACAACACTTTTTAGATGATATTGTCGTAGTATGTAACTGTTGTTGTTGTTGTTAGTATTTTTACTGTTGTCCTTGGAGTTACATGCATGTTTTTATTTCTCTGTTAATGTCGTTCTTTCTTGGTGGAGTTAATTATGATGTTTCCAGTTTCTCCATTCTTCTTTCGTTTCGATTTCCATAATATTTACGAAAATTTGATAAAACTTTGAAATTTGGCAGAATTATATTTTCATAATATAATATTTAACAGAATAAGATTAAATAATAATACTGTAAACATTTTTTTTTCAAAATTTTTACCTTTCTCAATAGTTGTTTAAGAATTTATTTTCTTAAATTTTATGACCGTTGCCACCAAAGTTGTCATGTGCTATCCATGTCTGTGATAAAGGATTTAGCAAAGTAGTAACTCGCTTTTGAGTTATTAAATTTTGAATGTTGAAGAGCTTGTTATATAATTTTTTTATCTTGAGAATTTTAAAATGAAAACACCAATTTGACAAACACTTCTTGAACATTTTTCTTTAAATAACATTCCACAATTTGTGAAGACAACACTTCTCATAAAATAATGCTTCAAGTTATAAATTTTTATCACCAGATTCGTGAATCTAATTGATAGAACATTAAGTTGGAACATGCATGTGACTAATTAATATTTAATCTGACGGATCACTCCTAACGATCCGTTATTAAAATTTTATGGCTTATGTAACTCTATCTATACCTAAAAGAATGAAGTTAGGTGCAAGAGATATATGTGATCTACCTTTTATGGTTTAATTACTTAATTTGCAGGTTTTTATTATGGCTTTCCCATCGGGTTTGTCTTAACAACTTAGTACAATAAAGTTTTTAATGTTAAAGTTATGAATCAAAAAATTTCTTTTGGAATTAATTTAGTGATGGTTGATTTCTTGCAATCAATAATCGTGCTTGCAGATTTACTTAACACGCTTATGTAAATCTTTAGCTGAACTTCATGAAATTTTTACAACCTGTTAAAAATTGTTTAAATCAACATTATCAATTAATCAAGAAAAGTTAATTGCAATAATTTGAATAAAAAGTATAGGAAATACTCTGAAAAATTATAGAAATGTTTATTCTAATCGAAAATTTGTTATACAATCATAAATTAATTTTGAAATATTAATATTAAACAGAGGCATCGTGCAACGAGGAGCAGTTGGAAGTGTGCAGAGATCCAGGTGATTAACATAATATATGCTAATCATATAATTTATGCTAATTATACAAATATCGGTGTGTTTTCAGAGAATAAAATCGTTTGTTTTAATAAAAATTGATTATAGATTTTAGTGAAATATTTAAAATAAAAGTCAATTTTATTCATAAACAATTATTGCTAGACATAATTAATATAATTAATATTGTTTGTTATAAAATAGTGACAATGGCTAGTAACAAACATCTATAATATTGAATTTCTGCAAAATTTTAACAAAACCCAATTCAATATTTCACATATTCCCCACGAAAGATCCCTTCACGAACAGTAACTGGGGCGAATGTAGGCACAAGCCCTACATGGAGTTCAGTCACTTGTGCGTCGTCAGCAATTATCTACCCACCGTTGATTTCTGCTGCTGCTCTCTCCAGCTCAAACAATTCTACCAGCAACTTCGCCAACACCATAAAATACAACAACAGCAACAACAGCAGCAACAACAACAACAAATTTTGTTCAAAAAACGCAGCCCGACTCGTAAACGGCACACGTCATTATTTTTAGAGCGTGAAAATCGTCAAAAATATTATGAACCGCTACTTCAGATTGAAACTAATCACAATAGCCAACCGCACAGCAGCCAGCAATTTATCCAAAAACAACAACATCAGCAGCAACAACAACAAAAACACAACCAACAACAACAACCTTATCTAAACCATTCAAAACGTTCAACACTTGAGAAGAACGACGACACGACAACACTTTGCTGTCGCTACCACCAAGATTGGAATCACTTTCGTTGTCAAGGAAGCGATGATGTCATCGATAAAAATTTAAACGGGTGCGTTTTGTTCTTGTGTTTTTTAACTGTTTCCAATTTGACGCTTTTTGCATTTCTTTTGATGTGACTTTGTACTTGGAAAATTTTTTAAAATGTCAAAAATTAAAAATATTACCGACAAACGTTTGCAATTTAAGATTTTTTTAAGAAATATTCATTTTTGTTTCACAAAAACTGCAATTTCTGTCAGAATGTTTTCTCTAGAAACGAATGAAATGAGCAAGAAATAAAGAAAAAAAATTTTATTCCACGTTCTGGCCATCAGATTTGATTTGCGACGCTCAATCAAAAGGTCGACAAAATTGTACGACTTTTTATATAGAAAATTTTCAAATAAACATTCCTCCAAATACTGTCAGAAATTTAGAAATAACATTTTGTTTATGATTAACAAAGATTTAGAAATCAACTTAAAAATTCAGAAAATTTCGTGACAAATTAAATTTGAAAAATTTAAAAAAAAAATAATTGAAATAAAATAATTGAACGAAGAAGTAACAAAGTCGTTGACATGAAATAATTGAAACATCTAGCTTTCCATTAAAACGTCATAGACAACAAAACATCTTATATGGCAAAACAACAAGACAGCATCAAATCAACAACAGCAAGACAACATCAAAACAAAATAACCAAAAGACGGCATTTCGAATTCATGTCGTTCCTTCAATTAGCATTCATTGTCCTGTGTCATTTATCCGTTGAACGATCTTTATTGTCTCTCAATAAAGAAAATTTCTAAACATTTACAAGGTAATTATTACAAAATCTGGTTACAAAATATTCTCGTCGTTGTAATACACACAATCCTTATATTTCTAGACGCTAACAACAAGGTGTAGAATGTTATTTATAACGAATTTAATTGAAATATTTTTTAATGCTTCATTTGTTTTACACCAAACGTTCATTTCACAAACTCAATAGATTTTTTTCACCACAATCAAGCAAATGGTTCGTTTGTTTCTTGTTAATGAATGGTCAATAAATGAAAGTAAAATTTAAATAGTTATTGTAAAAATATAAACCGAAAATAGAATTGATTTGAGTTAAAATTAAAGTTTAATTTAATTTAACTAACAAAATTCTGTAAGACCTAAATTTATCAGATAAATCATGGGTGGGCAAACTACGGCTCACGGACCGCATGAGGCCCTCGAAGCTACTTTTGCCAAAAAAGGTCGTCAGTCAGACACTATGACCAAAAAAGGAGCCACAAATTTAAAAAAAATTTTCCCCCGGATTTGGCTGTTTAATTACATATGCGGCTCTTCAAAGGTCAAATAGTTCTCAAAGTGGCCTTCACGCCAAAAAGTTTGCCCACCCCTTAGATAAATGGATAACTGCACGGAGAACATTTTTGCTTTTACTAAACTTTACAAATGTTTGAATAAATTGATTGAATTTTAATTTTTTTCGCAAAAGTTGGATCATTTTTTAAGTATTCGAGTAAGCCTACGTGTATCTATTGTTAGTTTCGTCACGCAATGTTTGCGATTGCCAGTGAGATTGATGACAGATTGATTGCGATAAAGACATCGGTTTCGTCTAGAATACTAAGCCAAATCTTTCTTTAAAATCTCAATTCACTTTGACAAAACAACATAACTTTAAAAAAAATTAAAACTTAAAATGTAAAAACATCATAATTTTATAGTTTCACAATTATTTAATAATATTCTCATTAAACACTTCCAAATTATGTTCATTCACCATATGTCAAATTAAAAAATTAAGAAAAAAGCATTCAAACAAAAAAAAATTGTATTCATCTATATTAATAACACACAAACCTTTTGACAGTTATTAATAAATCACTCACTGCATTGTGACTGAGCACATACGCATTCACTGATGCTTTCAATGCAGACGTTTACTTCCCTTTCCTATTCTGCAACTTCCGGTCAACCGGTCAAACAGGCGCCATTTTGAAATAACAAAAAATGAACACGTGAGTCATTTCAGGATGCGATATCCATATTTCCGCCATTCATCTTTTAATTATAATTAATATAATTATAATTGTTATTATAATTATTAATGTAGTATTAGGCCTAGGTTGTGACTATTGGATGTGATGACGTGATTATCTTCATAATTTCATCATTAAATGTTTCAGTTAGAATCTAACTATTGAAACTACTCTCTTCTATCATTTTTATCAGCATAATTTTTTAACGAAACTGGCTCCAAAACTCAAATTCAACGAATCACATGATTTCATTTTTGCCAGCGGTATGATAAGACTGTTGATGATGAAGCAGAAGCGATTGAGATGAAAAATGATGGAGAGAAACGATAAAAAATAATCATCTTACTCATTGTGGTGATGATAATTTAATAAGGATGATGTCCGTATCATTAAGGAATTGATATAATCACAATAAGAAGTAGCTGTAAAAATTTTATGGCTCTGAAAATATATTTAATGTAGTGGAAACAAAACATACAATGAAATTTTTTTTTTTACAAAAAACTGTTTCATTCGGGAATAAAATAAAATATAATGATTAATGATTGTCTTAATTATCATATGTAAAAAGTTGGTTAATGATAATGTGAGTAAGAAGGGTGATGAGGATAATGAGGATGTTAATGATGATGATGACGATGGCAATACTTCTAGAAAAATAATAGCAGATAAAAAATTTATGGTGACTATTAAAATTAAAATGATGATCACGACGACGACGATGATGAAAATTCAAATATGAGAGAGAAAAAGGTAAAATTGGAAGTAGTCTTGAAATTTATCTTGCCTACGTAACAACAACTGCAAAGATGAAAAAACGCTGATGATGATACCACAAAATGACAATCATCTTCGTTGTCCTCATCATCCTCGCCATCACCACAGTGACGATCATTAACCACGACCCCACTCACTTCAATATCACACTCATCATCAATCAACTTCGGATATGTTTTATCAGTACGGCAGCATTCTCCTCACAGAAGAGAGATCTCTATTTTCTTCTCAACACCACATAAGAACATACACAGCACATACAATTTCTAATCGACTTGATCACAAACACACACACAGCTACATCTTGAAACTAGATTTACAACTAAATCAAATCTTTAAAATATAATGATATATGATATAGCGACTAATGATACAACGATATAATGATGTATAAATGATATAACGATGCAATGATATAATGATTAAAGATACATGAAGTGTAAATTGATATTTAAAGATATGATTGTATAAAAATAAAAGTATAATGAATGACTTGATGAAAACTAACATCATAAAAATTTATACAAAATTTCCTATAAACCTGAGCATAGGACCACAAAATAAAAATGGTGATAATGATGATGAAGCAGCATGAGATGGTGAAGGTGATAATGATTATGATGCTGAGTTAATGGATGATGGTGTTAGCGATGATTGTAGAGACGATTTCGTTACGTTAATGATGATGACGATGATGATATGAGTGCTATTGATGACGATGACGTTGTGATGTGTGACCATGATGACGATGTTACGACTTAACGACGCTAATGATGATGTCACTTAATGTTAGGATGACATTATAATGTTGGTGATCATTTAGACAATAGCTTCACTAAGTAAGACGTTTGGAGTTAACAATAACAAAAGCGATGCTGAAATTGTAGAACGTTAATTTTTTTTATCTGGCTAAACGCAGTTTCTATCATGTGATTGCGCCTTTTTGAATCAGCAACGAACAGATTCAACATTCACGAACATATAACATCACCATCATCGTTATTATAATATCATCATCAACAACAACAACGTCTTTATCTACGTCATCATCTACGTCATCGCGGTAAGAATCATAATCATTTCCATTGCGTGCAATTGCCGTGGGAGTAGATTTTGTATCACGTGACAAGACAACTTCCGCCGTGTTGATGATGGAAAGCGACAGCTGCTGTGTGCTTCAACCCTTCCCGTGCTGGAAGGACACGAGCCTGTTTGCGTGTGTGCCTGCGTGTGTGTGTTTGTGTGTGTGCGTATGTGTGTGTATGTGTGTGGGTGGGTCTGTCTTTGTGTGTTTGTATGTGCTTGTGTGTGTGTGGTGTGTGTGTGTGTGCGTGTGTGTGTGTGCGTGTGTATGTGTGTGTGTGTGTGTGTGTGCGTGTGCGTGTGTGTGTGTGTGTGTGCGTGTGTGTGCGTGTGTGTGTGGAAGCACGTGGAAAAATCTCAGCATAAAAAACATAAATAAATATTGTTTCTAAAATGAGATGACGTCTTCATTACTTTTCAAATAAATATTTAAAAAGTTAAAAAAATAATTTGCGAATATTTTAATAGCATAACCCCAACATCAATGATTAATTTCTTTCCTTTTGTATCATTTCAATCATGATATCATTTTATCATTCAAGTAACACTTTAACGCTTGTAACTACCGACAACAATTTCATAACTTCAAAGATCTTTATTTTCAACACCAGTGTTGTAGCTTCCTACGATCGTCAAATGTTCGTAATTCTGTAGGTTCAATATTTTCGATTGGTGAACACAACAGTTTTAAACGCAAACCTGGTTCAACGTTTATTTGAATACCAACAGTAATAGAAACACTTAACTAATCCAAATAACTTCATAAATCACATTTACAACATCGCATCAAACCTCGCTAGAAACCTCTCTATTCGCCACACCTTACACAGCTTCAATAGTAGATTCTCACAATCCTCTATTCTATGGCATGAAAAGATTCTATGGTTTACAATCGATGGCAAATAGCGAAGATAACAAATATAACAAGATAACAATTATTAAATGATGACAACTAATTCAGACGGATGTAACATATTTCACAGTTGACATAATTTTACTCTAAAAAATTAACTCCAACTTGCTAACTTAAAACATATATTTTATTCAAAATGCTTCGAACGAATTTATAACTTTTCCCAAAGTCGCAAACATTTTTCAGTTTAAAATATTGCTTGATTGTTAATATTTTTGAGCGTGTATGAGAGCGAAACTGTGATAAAATCATTTAGAAGAACGATATTTGTTGTTAGAATATTATGCAAAATTATAGGATTAAGAAATGAAGTTAGTGTTGAATTGAATGACCCTCACCTTCAGGTATAACATTTCCCACCTGGCTCTGAACGACGATGACCAAGATGGCCACTCAGTTGTCACCTACAAAAACTTACTCATAATCATCATCAGTGCAATCGTCGTCGTCGTCGTCGTCATATTAATCATCAGCGTCATCATCTTCTGCGTACGCTCAATTGGCAACCGACGACTGCTGGCAGCTGACAAGACGAGAAGATGCCGGACGGATGATGGTCAGGATGCGGCGGGTGGCAAACACGGTAGGTCGGTCGCTTGTTTCTCATTTCAATCATTGCTTAAGATAATTCTTCTCGCGTGATTTTATCTGTTTGTAATTTAATCAGTGCAATATTTTTCAGAAGAATTAATATTTTCTAATTAAGACGCACGTAATATACTGTTACTATAACCATCTTATTTCACTTTACACCTGTATTTAGTTTTTTATTAACTTTTTCATTTAATAAAATGATGTTAAGTCAGTAACCATTTTTTCAAATTGTGAACCATCAATTTACTTACAGTGCAATGTATTTCAAATGTAATGAAGAATATCTACTAATTTCATTCAGACTGCGAATATCAAACAGCAGCTCCTCTTCCTCTATCATTTACCGTTAGACCATGCTCGAAGGCCTCCAGCTACAAACAGCTCAACTCTTCTGCTTTCAACAACTCCACCGTCATTAATGAAAACAACAAATTCTACAATGAATACACAAAAAACAATCCAAAACCATACATTAACAAAAACGTTGTCAGAGACACCGGCTTCAACATACATGATAACATTATGACGTCAACAACTAATGCGATCAACTTGAAAGACAAACCGGGCGTGCCTCAATCTCAAACAGCTCACCCACCCGCAAACACGGAGCAAGATGGATCAAACACGGAGAAGACGGATCAAGAAATCAGACATCGACACCACAACCGAAACTCACCACCACCTCGTTATTATGAAAACTCTAACAACGACATCGAACAGCAATGCTTCATTCTCTCTCAACTCATCAATTATCAATCACCTTTCGTAGAAGAGGAAATAAATTTATTAAGAATTAAAGAGGAGGACAAGTCGGTCAATAATCTCTCGATGATCCTTCCAGGACGCGATTGCTCGGCGTCCATTAATGAGCCACTTGTTGCCGCTGCCAAAAATTCATGAAAACACTCATCATTCAAAAAATTGAAAAATAAAAAAATGTACAACTGTTCAATTGTTATTTAGAGAATTTAAGAACAATGTTGAACCTAGCGAGTAATCTATATTTTTATTCACTAAAATTTCTGAATCTAGTGTTTAAATATAGCTAAGTGGACGATTCAATGTTTTCTTTCTTCTCAAATATTTTCTATGCATTTAATATAATTTTTAAAATAACTTATTTCAAACATTATAGTCTTTTCGAGGCACTGTTTAAGAGTCACACTGTCTTCAAATGATATGTTATAATTAGATTTCAATAATCTTTGATGAAAAGATTTTGAATAAAATATTTCAAGTGGGCAAAAATTGATTCATTAAGCTAGGGGTGGGCAAACTACGGCACAAATCTAAAAAAAAGTTTTCACCGATTAGAAAAAATTTGCTATTTAAGCCCATATGCGGCCCTCAAAAGGTAAAATAGTTCTCAATGCGACAAAAAGTTTGCCCACCCTTACATTAAACTATTTATTACATCAGTTTTTTTTATTTGTATGAAAATACATAGAATCGTATTTGTCAAGAGTTTATAATTGGCGTTTAATGTTAATTACAAAGTTTTTAAATTTAAATATTCAAAGATGTAGACATGCAACAAAATGCCAAAAAGCCATGTTAATTATGGCTGACACTTCCTCGTTAAAATTGCTCAAATTTTTGAATGTTTGAAAACTGAATGAGTTTGTCAAAATTGCGTGCTTACCATCGCAGTTTGGCAATTCACTGTTTACAAAAGTTTTTCGTGGAAGCTGGCCATTTGCTACTTTTTATGTTAACACTGTTTAATTTTGAGTAAGTTATTTGAATATTTTTTTAAAATGAAGTCTGATTCCGTAAATTTGTAACTGTTTAAATAGTGCGTTTCTTAATTAAACATGTTGCTTTCATTCTCCAATTAAATGTTCCTATGAAAGTTTAACTCCGTTTAATAAATTATCGTTTGTATTTTACTTATTTGTTTGTAGATGCGGCTTGTTGGCTTAGAGGTTAAGATCGCCGGGTCCAGTTTTGCAGTAACCTGGTTCGAATGTGACGGAAGGATCTTCGCTTAACACAAGCGTTGTGTGCTATGTGTTCTTTAGCACATAATCATGTGTTTTTATTTATTCTTCCGCATTTTGGAAAAGTGTAATCTTTGACCTTCAACTTATTTTGTCTGTCAGTTAACATTTCATTTATGTGAAATTTTATTTCGTCAAAAAAACAAGAAGTGAAACTTATCAACTGAAGAGTACGAATCAAAAATTAAATTTAAAAAATTTTCATGTGGGGACAACAAACGTTAAAAAATTTCTTTGGAAAATGGGATTGAGTTCACTGTGCCTCACGAACTTTATTTACGTCACTGGTACGTGTTTTGTCAAAAAATTCAACAAGTTTGTAAAAATATCAAATATCAAATGAATGTTAGAAACAAAGTAAAACAGGCTTAACTACAGAATATGAATCAAATATTTATTTAAAAAAGCAATTATAAGATTGAAGCCAAAAACAAAGCCTAAACAATAAACTAATTTAAATTGATTCATCAAAAGCATAGAATCGGTCTACAAGCCGTAACCATCATTAAAACTGGCTTGAGATACTTAATGACATTTTAATCACATTAACATTACGAGCATGTAACAATTGTTAGAAACAAACCTGACTTTCATGTTCAACGTTTGTTTGTATGATAAAGCAGAAGACAAACAAACAGACAAACAAACAAACAAACATCAAACAAACAAACAGACAAACAGACAAACAAACAGACAAACAAACAGACAAACAAACAGACAAACAAGTGTATTTAACTATTTTGTAGTATTACAGTATTCAACTATTTAGTTAGATACTGGCTCTTTTCAATCGAAAATTAAATAAATTTCAAATGAACAGTTGTGCTGTTATTTTTTAGTATGCTATACTGCATACTACACAATCTAGTATTTACTGAGTTATGAATATTTTCAAACAATTTAAATGATTTCTCAATTTAATAATCCTATCACCTTGCATTTGGAAAGTCATTTCAACATCATTTTGTTCGCAACAGTTCACAGTTCATCAGATGAATGTAATCCAATAATGATATAACTTTTATTTCTAATTAATATTTCTTTAATTCATGTCCGTTGAAAAAGAGTATGATGAATTTTTCATTATAAATTTATGTGATTTAGAAAAAATTCTAAAATGACCTAACACACACACACACACACACAGACACACACAGACACACACACCACACACACACACACACACCATACACACAGACACACATCTTGCATCTAGAATCAAATCAAAGCATATTAATGTATGTCTGTGCGTGTGTATGCGTGCGTGCGTGTGTGTATATGTGCATGTGTGTGTGTCGTGTTATATACATTGTATTACATGTACATTGCACATAGATATCTCTCCGATAAATAGCATGCGAATGTTTCAGTAGTCTTTGCATAGTGGCCCGCTGACTTTCCGCTTATTCGCAATCTTTCTGTTGAGTATTCTATTGCTATTGATAGTTGGTTGTAGATTGTTTTAAGAATTTTTTAATTGCAAAGTGAAATTAATTTCTACTTTTGTTATAAATTAATAAAAAATTATTTGTTTAATTAATTCTCGACTATATTCTGTAACACATTTTCAAATGTATTTCAAATTTCTACCCGGTTTTATTTTAATTTCGAATCATTGTTGAAGCATTTTCTTGGATATAACGTGTAAAGTTAAATACGGCTTGTCAAACAACAACAACATACATTCAGTTTTTATATTCTGCCTATGTCAAATAACTAACATACAACAATCACTTTGAATTTTATTAAACACCTCAAATTTAATCACAAAAGTTTAATTATAGGGCACCAGATATCAAAGGTATACAAAGATATCTAAGATACCAATATATGCCAACGGTTATCATATATGATAATTAATACCTTAACAATAACACAAATGATATAATACTGTATCGATAAAAACATGATATTGATATGATATGATACACTATCAATAAATCACATGATACTAATATGATATAACGAATTATTATTATTAAAACAAATGATTCAATTAAACCTCATCAACATGCTTCGCTTATATTTCATTCTTACAATGGCTTTTTCCATGTGTTCTCTGCTTGTTCATGGTGTTGATATCCCACAAAGTTAGTCTATTTCTTTTAACTTTCATAAACTTATATTTCACTTGTGTTTAATTAGTTATTTATTCAATGCTAATATTATTTCTAGAGTTTATACCGAATAAAGTTATTTCTTGAAAAAAATGTTTATATAAATTTAGATAACGATTGGTAAAAAGGTTAGAATTGTAATTTAGTGAATTGGATATTTTTAAAATAATTACACTTGCAAAGTTTATCGCACTGGCTATGTTTATTTTGTGACAAGATTTTGTAACATCGCGAGTGACGATGACGACAAGGATAAAGATAATGATGATGTTGTTGATGACGATGACGAGGATGACGATGACGACAATAATGATGAAGAAGATGATGACGAACTCAAATTCCATTGCAACCAAACTAATTACACCTTCATTCAATCCATCAATATGAAACATTAAAGTGAAGTAATTAGGTGTAGTTATAAACAATCGAACACCTATTACCTCAGTACAAAGTGTTCAATTGTTCATGTTCACGTCCATGTTTATGTTCACCCATTAGAACATTGAAACATTGATTGCTTGATGACTGGCTAGGTGAAGTGAACAATGAAAGGTCTTCTTCGATTATTCTTGAGTGGGCTACTGAGTGATCTTCAGACGAAGCACTTAATTTACACAGTTTTGAATAGAATGTTATTTCTCAATAAAAATAATTGTAAATGTTTCACATATATATAAATGTTTTTAAATAAAAATAGTGAAAATGTATAGAATTTTTGTTTAAAAAAATTAATTTTAAATATATTCTATATAAAAAAAAGTGTTTGAATACAAATATTGTACGTATAACACGTGAAAAATATGAATTTTTGTTAATACGCGGTGGGATTGTATCAAATCTTTGAAGAGTTTTAGACTATAATGTCCGTTTTATTATCAAAATCAACTCTTTCAATGAAGAATTAATTATTCCTAGTATCTTGCTATCAATTTGCAATGACAATCTATGCTGTCCTAAATAAAATAATCATAAAATAATCACTTTCAATGCTGCAGTCCGTGTTAATCACTGTCACCAAGCCATTTCCATCGGCGTCTACATTATCACTACTATTATTTTCCTTATTTTAATATAAAAAAATAATTTAACTGAAAGAATTATTTGTGAAAATTTCTGAACTTGTCCCACTTATTGCGAAATTTTAATTATAGGTATTACAATCTATTTTGAATACAAATGAGAAAATTATCATAGTGGAGTAAATTTTATATTTCAGATAACTAAAAAACGGTATCATTAGTTTATAATTGAAATTTGAAATAATGTAGGTAGTAACTACTTAAATCACTTTTGTTGTACAGACAGACATCAATATTGCTGATAAGTTATGTTGATCACTTAGTAACTTGATACACATCCGCTGTAGATAAACACGACTGGGTAAATGTATGATAGCATAGTATCTATACATTTAGAATGGATTAATTAAAAAAATGCATTCACGTCTTTTTATAAGAACAAGCTGATTTTGTTTGAGCGTTTTATGAAGATTAAAAATGGCGGAGAAGTCACAAATTGATGTAATTTATGGCAAGGAAGATGTGTTTCATCTCAACATTTTTTATACCTCCAGCAAATTATTCGATGAAACCTTTACTAACTGTTAATTTATTATGTCTGAGTGAGTTTGATGCATGGCTGGTTGTTCATTTTTCGTTCCGGTAAAGCACAAATATTTGAACCAAAATTAATTAAATTAACAAACGATTAATATTCTTTAAAATGTTAACTGATTTAATTATTCTCATTAAATCTAGATTGAAATTTGCGAAAGAATTTATTTCAAGTTAAGTAACAACATAATATTACACATTAACTATAATAATAATAATAATTATAGCAATAAAACACAACAACCATAAAAATAAAACTAGAAGAATGAGACCGAAGAGTGAACAATAAACAGTTTGTAAAACTTTCCATGCAAATCTTTGGTTCGGTGCAAGTTCATTCGTTCACTCCTGTGTGAAGTGATCACTTTTATCGTTCACGTTTTGAGGTAGTTCATTTAGGTTTACGTTAATTTCTATTCCTGTTATTTCTGTTTTATGGCACATATATCGCTTTTATGGAGTTTGCGGTTATCAAAATCTAGGTTTAATTCGTATTTTTTGTTAAATAAGTTTCTGAGAGGTACGATGAAGTGAATTAGGTATATTGTATGTGTAGTGTATTGTATTTGTTATACGAGGCAAAAAAATACTAACCTGAAATGAGTGTACTTAATGTGTTTTAGAAAAATTGAGTTTGGTTCATCCAGAGTGTGGTTCATCCAGAGTGTGGTTCATCCAGAGTGTGGCTCACTTGAAAACAAGCCACTCAAAATAATTTATCATAAAAAATGCACCGAGTATTGAATGTTATTAACATGTTTTTTTTACAACATTTTATAACAATAATTCTGTTGAATCAAATGCCACCAAGATTGTTTTAAAATATAATTAAAATGCAGGAAGAACCAAAGTAACAAACAGCTATAACAACAACGGCAACTACAACAACCACAACAACGATGCGGAAGACAACTCAAATGATTGTGACGTCAGAACGAGGTCCGTATTTCCGGTGGTCATTGATGGATTGTGGACGTCAACGCAGTAAGTGTCGTTAAATAAATTAAAGTCTCATGTGTTGTTCATGTATATCTTGAATCGATAAAGTGTTGTTTATATTTTATATGTTAAAGTTGATGTGTTGATGTGTTATTTTATTTATTTGAAAAAAACACACACACACACACGCACACACACAAATACACACACGCACACAAAC